GTTACTTTCATATTTATTTTTGATGCTAAAAATTATATTTAAAAAATTAATATATTTATTCTTAAAAGAATTTATATGTAATAGCTAAGGTAGAAATAATTATATATAAGGCTTAAATTTATTATTGATCAGGGGAAATGTCCCCAAATTTTTCGTGTAACATATTTCATTATAAGATTTGATGTACGATTTTTACATTTTTTATAAGAAAAATGATGAAATAAAATTTTCGCCTTCGCATAGCTTCACAACGATATAGTTTTTATGCCTTTGTGTTATAATGTTTATAGTTCACATGGTTTTTATTTTTTAAATAAAAAAACTGTCAACCTTAACAAGCCAAAAACCAAAAAAGATCTTTCACTTAAATAAGGCCTACTGAAAATTCTGTATATCATTACAACCACCGCCACTATCGTAACCATTTACAATAAATGGAAAAAAACCCCCAAACCTGTAAGTGTCTTTATAATGCAGATAAATAAGAATAATACTGTAATAATGAGATTCAAGCATTAAAATTATTTTATATATAATATAATTACTTTTAGATAAGCAATCGGATAAGGATTTCTTACTTTTTAGTAAGTTTGGAGTTAATGAAGAAGCATTTGACTTACGGGATCCTGATAGCGATTATAATATACTTGATAATGAAAGTACAAGTTCTAATACCGCTACAGGAAGTTTTGTAATTGAGAATGTTGACGAACATGATGAAATAGAACCATTTATGTTGGACGAAATAGCCTTTGAAAAGGCAAAAATGTTAGCAAATAAAAATGAATATAATTGTGACGATGAAATTGAATGGGATGATCTTGATTACAAATCTTTAGAAACCACAACATTAACTATAGAGTCAACAGAGAGTTTAAATTATCTTCTTGAAAATGACATTAAAAAAAATCGAAAATTAACACCATGTGTTCTTTTTCATAAAAGTAATGGTCAAATCAAACGGTGTTCTAATTATAATCAAAAATCTCAACGACCCTTAGCACAGTTGGTTGGTACTTGGGAGATTGATAGTGAATTATTTAAATCTGTACAAAATGATCAGTTACATACATTAGGAGTTTGTGCATCGCATTTTGGATTTGACCAAACGAACTTCATTGGCCAAATATCAAGAGTTTACAAAGCATTGAGAAAAGTTGGATATATCGTCCTCGATGTTTGTTTTGCAATAAGGATAAATATTTTTTTAGTCGTGGAACTAGCTGTATTCAACATTCAACATATATAGTAGGACGTAATGTACAAGTACCATGTGTAGGTCTTAAAACATGCCCAGTATTTGCTACTAAGCACATTAATTTTATTGAAAAGAATGACCAAAATATATCAACAAATAGTGATGGGAATAAGCATCAACCTCGATACATTTGTACCCAGTGTTTTGAGTTACAAGGTGGACATTTATTTCAACGTCCGGGTATTGGCAGACATGCTGAACCATGTGATGAAAAACATAATGATGATACGACGCTAGCACTTGAGCTTCTGGGGCAGTGGATTTTAACTATGGCAGCTTCGAACAATTCTGAACAAAAAAAACAATTATTAACATATCTTAGTTCAACACTATCTTTTTTTGATAAAACAAAATCATGTAAACAAAATCCTCCAAGTCTTTTATATATAAAAACAGCCCTTAGACTTGGTCAAATTAATCTTACAAAATTGATGAAAAGCGATCATAATATTACACCCAAAATATCGGAGAAAAATGGTGAAAATTTGGGAATTATTACGTGGAATTCTCGACATGAAGTACGCAAAAATAAAGAAATTCTTGAAAATCCAAATACTTTGACTGAATATCAGTCTGCTTTTCCGAAATGTCTTACAGGATTTTTTAATGGACTCATTACCGTATTACAAAAAAAAAAAAGTGAAATCATTAATAAAAAAAGAAAACAAAGAGGATTAGAAATAAAGCCTTTTGATCAAGCCCGAGTAGAAAAAATAACAGTTTTTTTGGTATCGGTAGTTCTTACTATTGCTTTCCCGGCTACTGATATTTGGCTTACGCATGTGATGAGCTCTTTAGCTCGTAAGTCTAAAATGCTAACCTCATTATATAGCATTTTATGTACTGCAGGTGTTGTATCTCATACCCAACGATACAAGCGACGGTTAGAAAAAAATAGAATGATTGAAGCCAATCCGAATCAAAGACTTATAAAGGGTGAAAATATTTGGAATGTGGCAGTTGTGGACAATATAGACTTTAAAGAAAGTACGTTTAGATTTGGAAATATCTATGATACTACTCGTAATACTTCTCACGCTACATTACGATTGGTTTTTCAGTTTACTTTACCAGTACCACTTCGTTCTTCAATTACTGCAGATTTGCAAACTGAAATTAAAAATAATGATACCAATACCAGTTTGTTTGGCGAATCTGAGTTTATTAAAATTCAATATTCTAAACATAATATTATTTTTAATGAGTTGGTTGAATTATACTCAAATAAATGGGATATTGATAGTGTATATTATGAGCTTACAAAAGATATACCTTTAGGGTGTCAAATTCCACCTCCTAATCTCGTTATTCTCAAACCGGGTGAAAATCCAAATTGCGATTTAAATGTACATAATTCTTGTAAAATGTATTTTAATGATTTTCAAGTATCAGAAAATGAAACTTTATATATAGCAGCCGATGAGGCCATTTTTCGCAGATTAATTTCATATCGTGATTCAAAAAAAGATGGATTAGTTCGATTACTTTTAGGTCAGTGGCATACGTCGAAAGCAATGTGTGCTACTTTGATAACAATTTTTTCGGGGTATGGGATTTTTGACTTAGCAGCTGATCTTGGGGTTCGTTACTTGGATAAACTTGAGAAAGTTGTCGATTATGATGCAACTTTCCATGTTTTGGAATTAATTTGGATGGCG